GAGAAATAAGTGAGGCTTGATCCAGGAATTAAATGTAATGACCAGATTCTAGTTTTCCTTCTCCATTTCATAGTTCTGCTCCTTAATATTTGTTCCACTTAATTCCTATTAATTGTCCCAAGATGGAGGTCAGGATATTGCAGGGCTACATGCTTTCTCATTTATTTTAAATAGGGAGCAATGGGCTTCCTTCTTTAGTAGTGTGAATAAATATCCTAACATTGTTTCATTGGCTCTCATTGGCCTTACTTGAAACCTAAGTTCATCCTTGAATCTGCCACTAAAGCCAGGAAGAAGAGTAAAAACAATCAGGTACCACTCATAGAGCTAGGGGAGGTCTATTATACAGAAACCATCCAGATGGAAAAATAAAAGGGGAAATACAGGAGAAGGGAGCAGTTAATTAATGTTCAGTATACTCACCCTCTTAGGGACTCTCCTCCAATTGGCATTATCCTTACCCTTTGGACCATTTTTTCTTCCTCAAGCCTATATTCATATTCAAGTTTTCCATATTTTGGTAAAACACTTCCTTTGACCCCAGACTCTCCCCCACTCCCTTCTTATAAAAAGCTATAGATGGAGAGTCTACAACTTACTATCTTCTTCATAGAGAAGTATTTGCCAATAGCCTACAGTAAGATTTCTACCACTCCACTAAAATCATTTTCGGTGTGATCTTCAGGGAATTCCATGTGGCCAAAGCCATTAGATATTTTAGGCATGGACTTTGAGGGGAGGTCTGACCCCTTGGGTCCAAGTATTGCCTCTGGCAATCTCTATTTATATGACTGTAGGCCAATTCTTTAACACAGTTTTTATTCTCTCATCTGTTAAATGAGGATAATAGCAACAATATAGCAATACAAAAACAGCAATAAAAATAGTGATACTTATAAGATTATTATGGTGATTAAATGAATTAATACATGTAGAAACTTTAAACAATGCTTCAAACAGTATAGGTATTCAAATAAATGTTAGTTACTATGATTTTTATTAATATATCTTGTGACATCTATGGCATTTAAAAGCGTTAACCGCTCATTTTTTTGAAAATCTATCTTTGACATGTTTTATGAAAGTACACTTTCCTGATATTCCTACCTCTCTAGCTTTTCATTCATCTTATTGGCTCCTTTTGTTGTATTCAGTCTTTCTATGTTGTATCTTCCAGAACTCCATCCCCAACCCCCTGTTCTGCTCAATCTATATGCCATACTAATGAGAATGCATTCACATTTGTGGCTTCAGTTTTTACTTCCCTGTAGTGATTGCCAATCCCAGATTTCTGTCTCTCCCAAAATACACAGCTATGCTATAGACACTTCAGTCCAACTGACTAAAATGATAGTTCTATTTGGATGATCCTCAAAACCTCCCACTGAATAGGTCCAAAATTGAACTCATTATCTTCTCCGTGCTCATCCTGTATTCTTTTGATAGATAGTGAATAACACCATTATCTAACAGGCACCCAAACCAGAAGCCAAAGAATCTGTCTTACACTCCTATGTTTCCTCAGTACTTAGCATAATGCCTGGTATCTAGTAGATGGTAAATAAAATGGTGACTGGCTGGCTAGATGGATGAACAGAGGGATAGGGAAGCATGGAGGGGTAGATGGATTGTTGAGTGAGTCAATAGCCTGAAATTTATTTATTAATAGTTAAGTAGTATATAATGATAATGTACAGTTGAAGGTCACAGGTGAGAAAGCACACCATCAGTGGGATGCACACCCCAGTGAAGCCTTTTAACTTGCTACATTACACATATATGACCACTTTTGGCTAAAAACCTTCCATTGCTGTGACTGACCAAGCATTCAAGTGGTATGTTTGTCTGAAATAATGGTCCAGGCTATAATCATTCCCTCCTTTTTCCACAATTAAAAATATCTGCCGCCATAATAGGAAGAACTGCTTTACTTCTTCCTAATATCTAGAAATGAATTTTAAAAATATAAACTCTATATACCCTATTGAAATGGACCATGGGATGTACAAAATATTTAATGGCATGAATCTTAACAGCTTGCCATGTTTATATGAAAACCACGAGGCATTCTAAAAAAAATACTAGCATAGTAAAATGTCACTAATTAAGCTTAATTATGGCAAAGGCAAAATGTCACTAATTAAAGTTAATTATGGCAAAGGCAAATTGGAACCAGCGACTATTTTTAAGGAAAGCCAACTTTATTATTTCAAATACATATACTATATAACAATAGGAGCTATGAGAAAAAAGTGGCAAGTATGTTAACTAAAGTAGCCTGGCATGATAAGTTTAAAAACACTTCATAATTGGAATAACAGCTGTTTCTATGACCAACAGAAGGATATTTTGGAACACTTAAATACATTTTATTTTATTTATATTTTAATATTTTAAATAGCTTTCTTTTTTTTTTGTTTGTTTGTGTTTTTGTTTTTTTTTGTTTTTTTTTTTTTTGAGACAACGTCTTGCTGTGTTGCCTGGGCTAGAATGTAGTGGGGTCATCACAGCTCACTGCAACCTCAAACTCCTGGGCTCAAGCAATCCTCCTACCTCAGCCTCTCAAGTAGCTGGACTATAGGTGTGCGCCATCATACCTGGATAATTCTTCTATTTTTTGTAGAGATGGGGTCTTGTTCTTGTTCAGGCTGGTCTAGAACTCCTGGTCTCAAGTGATTCTCCCACCTCAGCCTCCCAAAGTGCTAGTATTACAGGCGTAAGCCACAGCACCCAGGCTGACACTATTAATTTTATAAACCAAGGATTTAATAGAAGATTAATCAATAACCATAAAGCATCAACTATAATAGGTGTTCCACTAGCCAGTAGAGCAACAACAATGAGACAAACTAAACAATGGTGCTCAAAGATGAAAGAGAGAGAGAGAGAGAGACTGACATTTTAAAAAAAGATGGACATGTTAACCAAAGTTGGAATATAATATGTTGACTGGTTTTGAAATGCATAGCAAATACCCAAACCAAAATAAGGCTGATAAAAGCACTAGTCTACAACAGGTGACGCTTACTCAGTTTTACCTATTCTGGGGACCAGATTCTCGATTGCATGACACAATCACTAGTTTTGTAGGGTCAAGCTAGTCCTGATACTTATTCAAAACATCTCAAGTACTTCTGTAAGTCATAACTTCATGAAGGAAACTGGGTTAATTACAAAGGACTTACATAATAAAATAAGAAACATAGTTTTACATTACTGTACTTTAGACTTTTTTTTGTCCACCAGTAGCCAGTCTTTGCTCCTCTTTATTCTGGGAAGCTGACATGTGTCATCATTAGGCTCCCATGCCCTCTGGCTTTCACTTTTTGGGGGCACTTGGAAGCCCTAGCAGAAAATTGGTAAAAGGGGATAAAGGGAGGTCAGGATATTTATTCTCCTAATTCCCTTCCTGTGAGATTGCCACAGGCTGACTGTGTTCCATGACAAAAGATTACTGCTTTTCTCAAGGTGGTTTCTTATTATGATTACCTGCTTCTCGCCACTTCTTCTCTTCATTTCTTGGGCCTACATATAGTAACAGCTACACTGCAGCAAGGTTCTTGTATTATTTGTAGTGGTTTTCTTATTCCCTAATTTGTTCCATCAGACATAAACCTCCCAGATTATCCAGGCAAGATTACAGGGGAATATGCATGTCAAGCTAAGATATTCCAAAAGACAGTGGGGAGACATTAATATGTTTTAAATGAGGAGCGAGGTGATCAGATTTACACTAGTTATTAATCTTTCTACAGTGTAGAACTTATATTGCAAAATAGAGACTTGGGGTAGGAGATGATATAAAGTCTCTTACAGACATGAAGGCAAAAACTGATAAAGCTTTGCAGTTACAATAGAAAGAGGGAAGAAGTTGTATATGAGAGAAGTTTGTAAACAATTATATATGGTGTTGGATGAGGCTTAGGGAAGAATCAAGAATATCTATCAGGTTTCATGCTTATGGGATAAAGTCAATACTGGTTTTATTACTTGTTATCTATATTATTTTCATTTCATGAAACCAGCTTAAAGAAGTTCTTTAGAAAAAAATAATGTAGTCCTATTTATTGTTAATAGTCTAAAATATTTCTGAGCGATAACTATACAGCATCTCCATCTTTGATCACAATGATAGCAAAAATAGCCTAAACATAAGCCAATCTTACAGAATGTACCCAGCATAAATTCTCAGATATTATTAAAAGAAATTTCTAGTATACCTATCTGTTCTTGGGTTCCTTCAGAAGAAGACCCTTAGAAAAGGTTTTGAGAACAAGTGATTTATTTCAGATGTAAAGGAACTATCAGTAGGAGTGGTTAAATGAGACAGGTAAGGAGTGGGTAAGTGAGACTGCCTTTAAGGCAAGGCAGCCAATAAAGGATGGTGCATTATCAAACACACTACTGTGGGCCACTGGAGCTTTATCCAATCAGGGAACTCTGGAACCCATGTGAAACACATGCCTCAGAGTTATCTCCCCTAGCACCAAGGGAGCTAGAGTATCCATAACTCAATTCCTGCCATCAGTCATTATTTACAGGCTACTTCTAGGAGGTGGGGCAGCATCAATTCTCTGGTGTCTAGCCTGCCACTTCGATGGCAAAGCAAACCCATGTGGCAAAATAAAGCCTTCAGACAATAAAATGTCTGTGCTGGCACTAGAAATAAAGCTGATGGGCACTCAAGTGGTAAGAGCAAGGAGATATGGGCATTCCACTCTGGTACCTTTCTAAAAGATGATTCATATTTGCTTCTAGGTATTGAGAATGGAGTTAAAATTTTACATATATGTTAATGTTCTGTTTCACCTTCAGGAAGATAATTTAATAGAAACTAATGTTTGCCATCAAAAAATGTAAGAAATCCCATTACAGCCATAACACAATGACCAATTTTTAAATGAATAATATAAATGTGAGATAATGTTTGGATGTTAAATTTCACATGTCTTATCCAGACTAGCATTTACTACTATATATTCATTTTCCTTTTATTCCAGTTGAAATAATTCAAAATCAGTGGGATGAAGTACAGGAACACCTTCAGAACCGGAGGCAACAGTTGAATGAAATGTTAAAGGATTCAACACAATGGCTAGAAGCTAAGGAAGAAGCTGAGCAAGTCTTAGGACAGGCCAGAGCCAAGCTTGAGTCATGGAAGGAGGGTCCCTACACAATGGATGCAGTCCAAGAGAAAATCACAGAAACTAAGGTTAGTATCAAAGATATCTTCTTAAAGTACTGGTTATACTGGGTAAAAGTATACCATGGATTAAAATTTAATAATTTTTAATGTAAATGTATTAAAGAAAAATCATATTTAAGCTTAAATGAACAGGAAAATTTTGAGCGAAAGTAGAGATTAAAGGAAAATTAATGGCTAATATCAATCTTAAAATTAAATTTTGTTTAATAATCTGGATATAGTGGGCTAATTTTCATATTGTACCATCCCTTTTTTAAAGATGTAGCTTTTTAATACAAAGCAATTTTAACACATCAGTGTTACATATCACATCCAATAATGAACAAAATTACTTCTTTTAAAAGTACTTCAAAGTTGATATACACGCTTATGAAGTAGCATGAAGTCAACTATTGGGGCTTAATTCCTTTCTAGAAAAAGTAAGAAGGTCTACTCCTTCTTATTTCATTTGAGGATTCCGAATTGAGAAGTATGGGGTGGGTGCAAGGATCAGGTAGAAATAAGGAGTACTCTTACTTTCCCCTCCTACTCTTCAACCTCTAGTCTAACTCATTCTTTCCTTCTTTCTCTCCCTTTTCTTTTTCCTCCCCTTTCCCCCCAAAATTCATCAAATATCTGTCTGCTTAATAGTCTAGAATTTCTCAGGATAAAAGAAAGAGAAAGGGAAAGGAAATAAAATGTTTAATAACTATCTTTTATCAAACACCATGCATAGTGCTTTATATGCATTTAATCGTTTCAAACCTGGTATTTATGAATCAGCTGAGAAAGACCTTTAATACTAAACAACGGGTACCCTTTCAGGGATCTTAAGCAGAGATGCAACATAGTAGGAAGTTAATCAGACTGAATACTTGATCAAAACCCCCTATAGATTTCTTTATCTGGTAGTAAAAGCCTCTTACTAAACAAGTAAATCTCAAATTGGTTATTTTATCTCAGAAGAAAGCCATATAGTTTTCTCATGTAAAATGGCTTCCATTTCTAAATTAGTCAAGTTATATTATGCTAAGCTACCTTGAAATCTCAATAGCTGAATGCAGCGAAGACAAATTTCTTGGTTATATCATTGTCCGTCCAATGGACATTGATGAGCCCTTCTTAGGAGCTCTCCCCGAAATGCTCACTTGGGGATCCAGGCTTTTCCAATTTTGTGAAATTATCATTTTATACACATGGCTGCCCAAGGCCACTATAAGAAAAGAAGAGAGGATGTGGTCAATCAACCCATAGGGTTTTATGGCCAGGACTTGAAATTATGTATGTTACTTCGACCATATCCCATCAAAGAGAATTTGTTCCCGAATTAATTTCAGGAAGAGTAAATGGAATTACTGAGCTTTTAGCCAATCTCTGTTATAGCTGCTTTGCCAAAAGATCTGAGCTGCTATGAGGACAAGATTTTTATTTATTAATATATGACAAGAATGGTAGAAAGCTACATAGGATTTTACAGTCTTATCATTAGCTCTATTGGAGGCAAATTCTAGGTGGATAAAAATTCTTTTTTTCACAAGATACATGTTACCACTTATAATTTTTCCAATAGATGGACATAGATAAATTAAGAATTTCTAATGATAATTGTCCTAACTCCTGGTCTAAGTATGTTAAATATACAATATATGTGGTTATTCTTAAAGACTCTGGTAATATCCATAATGTACTAAGCATGTTATGCCACTTCGTTTTTCTCTCCATAAATTTAGAATACTATGAATCTAGCAGATCATAGACCAAAGTGGTTAACTGGTAAGAAGATATTAGTGGGAAAAAAGAGTTTATATTGGACCTTTGAGCTAGCTGAGGGGAAGGTGAGATGAGAGGCATATAGTGATTGATTTGATTAGGGCAAGAGGACTATAGAAGTTAGCAAATGAGAAATCATTTTAACCTAAGAGAATCCTAAAGTCATGACAAGAATGATTAGGGTTTAATAGCTTTTAGACGACCAAAGAACTTTAAATAAGAGACAAAATTATCTGCAAAAGGAAATATAAAAGAAGGAAACAAAACAACTGCATTGTCAAAACACGTAAGATGATTTAAACACCTAAACTAAAGAGTTTTATTAAAATTACTCTCCTTGTCAAACTTTTGAAATTAAAAAAAATGCTTTTGTATGGTCAGTCTAAAAGTACATCATAAAGATGGTTCAGCCATTATCTACAGAAACTGATATTTTTGCTTGTGTTCTGTGTTTAGGAATTTAATGATATATATTGCTGTGCATTCAGTGTAAGTTTATAATAAGATAATGATGACCAAAGCTATAATTCTCCCATCCACTTCCTGAATGATGTATGCTAAGACTAAAATTAACTCTAATGTTAATATTAATAAACATTTAGTGAGTACTTGCTATGTATCAAAACTGGTGCTGATCATTTTACATATTGATTTATTTCATCTTCTCAAAAACCCTCTATGAAAAGTATTTTTACTATTCTTAGTTTTCAGATAAGAAAACTAAAGACTAGAGAAGTTCAGCAACTTTTTTTGAAAGGAATAGAGTTGTGATGTGAATGTATAGCAATTGTTATTATAGATGACCTCACAGATTTCCTCTTCTACCTGTTGTCTATGTGGCTAAAACAAATCAAGAAAACACCATGAGGATATAAAAAGTCCATATAAATGTTAATTGACAAATAATATTATATTACTGATAAATCAACATATAGAAAATGAAAGTAATGAAATAGTATACTAGAAAAAGTTTTTATATTCTATAATAAAAAATTAAAAAGATAGTTGAAAGTTGCATTCCATTTTTAATGAAACTACAACTTTTAACTCTTCTAAAGGTTAGAGAGCAAATAAAATGGAGATCTGGTCTTTATATCTAATGTGCTATCACTACTGAGGGATATTAGCTGGCTTGTCACTTACAGCAATTTTCTTTTAGGAAGAAAGTGTGAAAATAGACAGTAAGAGACATTGGATAATTTGACTAGGGTCTGCTTGCTCCATAAGTTCTTTCTGAGTCTGTGTGCCTAAAATTAGCGAAAGACACTGTGAGCATTGTAAGGCAATCATTAGGCTATGTCTACAGAATTGGAGAGCTGTGATTAAAGTAGCCCACCTCCCTTCCAGCACCATCACTAATGACTACCCTGTCACTAATGAGCAACAATTGAAATGTTTCAAAAGCAACCACCAGCACTCTCATACTCTTTTAAAATTTAAATTAGTCACCATATCTGAACCTGAAAAAATCGCCAATAATCCTGATATATTGATTCATAATTGCTAATATTTATAATGTCTTCTAGTTATTATCTATATATATTTTAATCATCATAATGTAGGATAAATTTTGAATTCTTATTTTTAAACAGTATTATTGCATAAATATTTATCAATGTTTTCCATAGCTTTTAATTATTTTAATTTTTTATAATATTTCATTCATTATAATCTTTAACAATTTCCATGTTGGTTTGACATTTAGAAAATCTTCTCCTCTTGGTTAGAAAAAGTAGTGGAGAAGAACTAGGGGTGCAATAACAACCCATTCCGAAAATAGAAATCAAATCTGAGATGGCATCTGGAAAAAGCCCATCTTGAAAGCATGGTCAGGGTGGAAGGAAACTACAACAGGGCAGTCTTTATTTGTCAAAAGGACATAATGCATATGGCTTATTGTGTCAAGAATTAATAAGTGGATCATTAAGAGATAATGTATTTTTAATTTCTGTCTTTGCTGTGCAACCCTTAATTTTTCTGAAACAAAAACATGGACTTACAAAGTAGTTCATTTTATTAACCACATTGTTTCATTTGGTACTCACCATGGACCTGGTACTACAATAATGTTCTTTTGAGATAGAAAGACAAATATTAGGCAAAAAACATACAAGATTTTATTTCTAATCATAATCTTTGCCAATAGGCTACTACACAATCCTATGAGAGATGATGCCATTTAAAATTTTCACAATAGTCAAAAATAGTATGTGATTGGCACCTAAAACTACCAGCAGTGATATCATGGAATTTATTTCATTTGGCAGAATCTTGGTTAAGTTCACAGCCTATTCCCTATGCTATTAAGATTGGTCCAAATTTGGCGATGGATTCTTTGGAAAAAATTATTTCTTGATCAACTTAAACTTTCTTTCCCAGAGTCAAGAGAGATTTGTCCAGGCTCAGAGTTTTCATTTATTTTTTCCCCCTTTCAGCTTTTGAAAGAGAAATTCCTTTTTTGTCTGCTTTGTGATTGCTTTTGTGTCAAATTCAGCATAAAAGCTTTTCAAACGTGACAGCATTAGCTGTTTTGTGCTTGGCTGAGCTAAGAGTACATGAATTCAATAGAGAAGTGAAATCTTGTTTGAACCTAGCTGATTTGGCTACATAATACTTAAAACTATCTGAAGCGAGAAATTCAATAATTTTCAAATTATTAAATAAATATTTCCAAGGCTGTAAAATTTCTGTGTTTTTGAAGACATTTCTTAGGGAACTGGAAACACAGATATACTGTAATCACATAATTAATTTTAAAAGTTGAACTTGTTATATATAGTAACTAAGGTAACTATTTGAGGATCTTAAATTATTTTATTAAGAAAGAAAGTAATCAGGAAGAACTTCTTTTTCAAATATGGAAATAGAGCCTTAAATGTTTATTATTTGTGAGGGGATGAATGGTATCAGATAATATGCTATCTGCCATAAAGATATGTATTGTAATGGAAACTGAATTTATTCTTTATATTTTTTGTTTCTTTTTTAGAGTTGCACAAAATTAAATCAGCAAATTAATCCATGCTAGTAGTTTGAGATTTGGATTTCTGGTACAATAATGAAAAACATTATCAGAAATCTTCTTGCCAGGACCTATCATTTCTTCATGCCTTTTCTTTATTCCCTTTTGTTTTCCCCTAAAGCTTCCAAATGATTAAGGAGAAAAAATCAATAACCTAATAGCACTTTTCCTCCTAAAGTATGCATGAAGTTATTAAGCTTCTCAAAACATACAGACAGAGTGTTCCCTACATCGC